ACATTCACACCAGCACGGGATACTTACTTACAACATCTTAGGTAGGAGAAACTGACTGATGTTTACTAGCATGCCTAACAAAGACGCTGGGATACATTTGCTTTGGTCGACTTCAGGACAGATAAAAGGTGAATGCGCATTTCACAGCTGAGCAGCATCCTGCCCTGCAGCAGACGTGGACAGCAGAGAGGGAGAACCAGGGGAAAGAGGGAGAGGAAAGTCATTCTGAAGGGGGAAGTGTGATGGGGAATATGTTCGAAAGGAGGAGATAACAGTCCCTTAGAATCAAAGAAGGTGGAGCCTTTTTGGGTGCATTATACCTGCAGGAGATGGGTGCACTTGTCAGGATTACAGTGCAATGCAGAGACAAAGCAGAGTGAGAGCGACAGAATAAACCTGCTCACATATAGGTAGTGACTTAAGACTTAACTGAAATTCACAGTCCTACGTCTGGTCTGTCAGATAATGAGAAGAAGTGGGAGGTGAACAATAATAAAAGGACAGACAGTGTTTGGACAACAGATGAAATAAAATAGGTATATCATCTAATCTCCGTCACGACAGCGTAGATTATAATGTGTGAAAGATACACAACAGGGTGTAAAGAGCAGTAAACTTAATTCTTCATGTAAAAAGATAGGTCAACTGCTGGCTGTGTCCTCCGCCACATAGCAGCACAGACACAGTTTTATATGACTGCGGCTGTTTCAAGCTGTCCTGTGGGCATGTGAGCCGCCCTCCCGGCCAAAACACACAGATGGAGACGAGAAGCTGTTCAGCGAATCTTTTTTCTCCATCCATTCCCAGCATGTCAAGTCACATGGCCAAGCGAGGCGTCACTTGATCCTACAAACTGACTGCAGGTATAACTAGGAATACAGCAATGGTACTGTGAGATTACATGTAATATGTCTGAGGATCAGTGACATTTGTGCACTCATGTTAGCTAAATGAAACAATCAGGATGCTAAAAGAGAAAAAAAGCTGGTTGTGGTCTTTCCACACTGTAGGTCACTTGATTAACACAGAAACTTGTTGTTCAAACTGGAATGTCTGTCAAGGTAACGTCATTTCCAAACTGAAATGTTTATAAGACAGCTGAACACAGCTTGAGAAGTTAGCTCAGTTAACCCACTGTTAGCTAGTTAACAAACCAGGCTACTTTAACAAAGCAGCTAAGTCATTCCACTAATTATCTAGAGGGGAAATCACCAAAATGACAAGTTTAAGTTAGACAAAATAAGGACAGCAATCAACCAAATGTGTTCTCTGCTGAAATCATTAAGTGGCGGTCAAGTGGCAACAGAGACACCTTCAGCGGTTTACAGCTAATCCACCAATAGCTCCAATATGGCTACCTGAAGGTGCGTTGTTAAGATAATAACTTCTTGAGCAGACTATGTTTCAGACTCACTGTAATACAGCTTCTTTAACAAATCTGAGAGTCAGCAGTTAAAACCTTAAGAATTCTGTGGGGTCCAGGCTAAACCACGACCGTCGTCCTTTCTTCTGTAGTTTTCACCACCACCCTGCTTTAAATTGCCAGACATCCATATACTTTGGTGGCATTAACAGAAAAACATATTGATTTTCCATTTTTGTTTCACACGTGTGTCTGACATAGTGGAAAATGTCCTCGATAAAACAAGCTCACATGCAACGAGCTACTTCAGCGGCCAGTATTGATGCATTTACATGCTAGCATGACTGCTTTCAAGCCTGTTTTCTGCCCGCCAGACGGCTGCTAGAGGCTATCCTGCAGGATCCCAATGAAAACCCTATCCTAACCCAACATGCACAAAATAGTAAAGACACACTGTCCAAATAGACTAGAGGTTAATTAGACACAAATGTAGATGAGCCACAAAGACCCAGAAGAGAGAGCGCACTACCACTGGTAGCAGCATGATGAGCCGCCAATTTCAAGCAAAACCGTTTTCTTTTTGCACGGGATTAAAAAAACTAATGTTTCTCTTTTTCTTTTCTCTTGTGATGACTGTACATGATGCACAACTTGATCAGGGTTTGATGGCAAGTCTGCTTGAATCCAGTTAGACCCAATTACAATAAATATTATTTAGATCCAGCCAGACTCAGCTCATGGGTTGGAATAGTTACCAGAAACCTAAGTGGGCTGCTCTTTTTGACTCACATACTCTAAGTCAGTATGTAATAATGCCATCGTGGCATTGTATTGCAAGACATGTGTGCATCTCAGTGTGTATTTAGCTAACAGGGAACTGTTGGATAGTGTCTTGTAATGTAGCATGCTACACTTTGACTAAAGTATACTGCACTCGGTGGCTCAGTGCTGAATTACTCTTTAATGTGTCTGGAGACTAATGAAAACTCTGCAACATCTGCTACATCTTGTTGACTGCCAGTACAGCACATAAAACAACAAGAGTTTCATCAAGATATATTATGTCATGAGGCTGGCAGTGTGTGCCAAATTAATCCTCTCCCTCCAGACCGATTTTTTACTCAGAGAAAGATGGATTCATTCACACAACATAACAAACAGACATTCAAATTCATAACTCACTGTGGGTGCCTATTAAATCACTAAAATGTAATAGCCCAACTACCCCTACAGTGATTTATGTGCCTTATTGACCGGTAGTGGAGTGTCTGGTCAGTGGTAAAACACACATGCACACGCTGAGATGGCATGTTTTTAATTGTCCTGTTCTGTTCTGTCCAATGTTGTCATGATTTGATAAGTATTTCCATATGGAATGAGTAAGTGGGCCACATCACAATGTTGTATCTAAAGTAGCGCAGCGACGTAGTAAAAGGCTGGATTATATGGAATAGATTACTCAGTGACCATCATATGTGTAAATCCAGAGCACTACCTGTTTTAGTGCAGAGAGCCTTCCCCAGACCGCTGAATTTGAAATACCCTTTATAGACACTCAAATATCTGACTATAACTGAATCTGAATGTAAATGACATTGGGGCATTCTATGACATTCTACATTGCTTCTACTGTGCTGTGTTTTTGAAACTCAACACTTCTTTAAGTGTTTCTGAGTAAATTTTCAGATTCAGATTTATTGAGATAACTGTACATCACTCTACAACAGCAATGAAGTGAAAATCCTCATCTATTACAGACGCAGCTGTTAAAGACTGGCTCGCCAGAGGATCCCTCAGCTTTGTTGATGTTTGCTGCGTTTAAACTGACGAACCACGTTAAATGATGCCTTTTGCCTGCTTTCTTACATAATTGGTGATGCTAGCACCCATGATGACATATCTGAGAGGAAATCCAATATTACATCCACAATGTGTTTCAGCATTTCATAACAACATGCTTTAACCATGCGCTGTCCAGACCAAGCCCTCTGATACTCACTAAGTACCATTTGCACGGGGTTAATTGTTTCCCAACAGGGCCAGACCGGCCGCTGGTGACAAAACACTGACTTGACCGCAGCGTGCGTGTTGCTGTGATGTAAATGTCTGGCCTGGGGCACTTGTTGGACAATCCACCAAATTTAATTTATTAATCACTTTTAGGTGTGTGTGTGTGTGTGTGTCTGTGTAGTGAAACAGAGTGAGAGAGGGCACCGATAATCCCATGTGATAATCTCCCTTGCAGTTCGGTCAATAATAATAGCAGTGGGGGGGGGGAGAAAAGACTAAAACAACAGCTCTTCATCCAAACAGCTGCAGAGTGCTAGATGTTATTTTGATGCCAAGTTCTGATCTTTATTAGAACCATTACCCATCACTGGGAGGAAAAGGTCAGTACTTTCACTGAGACACTGATTTAACACAACAGATTTACGACTGGATAAGATAATGCTCCTAAATATTCACACTGAATATATATCAAGCTGACATTCCTTTGAAAACATGTCTGTTCATTGTCTTTAAATATCACAAGTGGGAATTCAAGTGGGTTGCCCATTTCTTCCATAAAACATACTGGCAACAAGATCAGTTCTGCTCAGTGACACAAGACTTTCCTAAAAGTGCAATCAGAAATGTGTGTGTCCACTGCCTGTCTGCTTGCATGCCATGTGCTGTGCTGTCAGAATTGCATGAACTCCAGTAATCCTGCACAGAATCATGTGTGCAAATACACTCAGATACACACAAGACACGGCATATCGCAGCAGCTCTTACCAATAAAACCACAGCTGCAGGATTTTGTGTTTGTGTGAGAGTATGGGTCTATCCACGAGCAAACAGAGTGATCATTTACTGCGCAGCCTAGTACTAGAAAACGCACCAGAGACTGCTCTGCGTAGGTACATCTACAGGGAGACGAGCAGAGGTATTTGTAGGAATTTTACTTTACAAAGAATGTGTTAGGGTGGTGCTAAGGGAAGGTTGGAGTTGGGTGACGGCAACACTGATGGAGTGATTGACAACTTGTACAAAGGCGATTTATAATACTGTGGCAGGCACACGATGACACAATGAGGAGTGGATGAAGGTTGGATTGAGGGAGATCCTTCAGCAGTGTACAGTATGAGATGAGGACTAGCACTGACAGCAGCAGGGATCAAGCGGAGAGCAATCATCATGGCCATGTTCTGTCGGATACACAGCTTACTATGATTTGTGTTTCTTGGGGTTTTGTGGGTGACCAAGGACTAATGACACTGATCACACAACACAGTTTGGTGCTTTGGATTTTTTCTTTGGTGCTATAGAGGGTTTCCGTTAATGAGTCCCTTTACAATCTTTCCCCCTTGATGGCGCCACAGAATACCTCTAGATGATAATGAAGGTGGAGGTGGAAACAGTAAAGATTAGGACATGGGTAGTGTTGGATGATGATTTCTGCTCCCCAAACTCCTCCGCAGTCCTTGATAATGGACTCTGATAAAGTCTTCATTCGGTAAAGGTGAAGCGACACTTTGATGATGATAAGGTGGAGGGATGACTGGAGGTGGGATGAAGTAACCAGTAAAAAACTGATTGGTCACATGAAGCGGGAAGGAATGAAGAGGTGGGTGATTCCCGTGAGTCTGCCCGGTACCTTGCGCTTGCGTTCAGCCCGTTCCCGGGAACGTCTCCTCCTCTCTCTAGCCTTCTCCAGAGCCTTCAGGTCCGGAGGCTGATCCATCTCGGACCTGGCCTTCTTAATGTGAGCCGCGGCGTGAGCCATGGTTGCCCTCTCACTCTTCCCACACAAAGAAAACTAAATCTTCTAGATCACTTTCTGATGTCCTCGCAGAATGCCCGCCTCATTGGCAATCCAGTCATCCAAGGAAACAAGCCTCCACCTCACCAGGTGTCTTTCTTTTTATGCCCAAGGACAAATCGACACTAGTAGATGAAACGGGGAAGAGGATAGAGGTGGCGCTGATATCCTCTAGTCCTCTAACCCACCGGCTGTCCTCACCCATGCAGAGAGTGTCTGTAAAGCCTCCCTCGCTGCTGCCAGGATAACTGCATCTGAGCCGGGGATAGAGAGAGAGGAGGGGTGGGCCAGTACACGCCACCAAGAGGTAAGCTAGAAGACCAATAGAAAGGCAGAGTAGCGAGGGAGACCTCCTTCCCTCCCTTTACCACTCAGGCTGCAGATACTATGGGAACCTGGGAAGCCTCAGATTTGGACTCCCCAAATACATGAGCAGAAGGGAAGGTAGGGGGGTGTGTGTGTGCGTGTGGATTATAGAAATCGGGGTGAGTTGAAGGAAACGATATTTGGGAGGGGATACAAGACACGGAAGCTTCAGTGAGTGTCCTTTGGAAAAAATAGCAAGGGAGGTACCAATTCAGCTGAAGTCAGAGGGGGTAACACTTGGGACTCCAGTCAGTGCCTTCAACCTCCCCTATTAGCAAGTCTGACATGGTACAGTCTGCCTCAGTGGCTGGGAGATTTCACAGCTCCAGAGCAAACACACGCATAAATACACACAGAAAAACACATAAGTCAGTTTTTCTCAAGCACTCGTTCACAGTTTCTTAGCTTGTAGTCATGAAAATGATAAACTGCATGTGAAATGCAAATGTTGGGAGATTTGAAGCTTACTGCAGCAATATATGATATCTAAACAAAATCTAGCCGTTGCTATGTGTCACAGCTTTGTGGGCAAAGCTGCTTGTACATCAGTTACACTGTTTTTACTGGCAGTCATCACTTATATTATTTTATGACACCGTGGGGGGCATAGAAGAGACAGCATGACCTGGAATCAAATGTACCACGGCCTCCAACACTCCTACATAATATATCCTATACTATAAAAGCAGACAGAAGCAATAACTATGATTAACAGCTAACTGTGGCAGTGCTAACTTAAAAAACTAACCCACAGTGAAGGCTCTGCTGCTGTGACTCATTCCAGACAACCCCTGTCCATGGTGCTGAAATCACAATGCTGCCCGTGTATTTTAAGCACCACTGAAGGGCAGCAAAGGACACTTATCTCGTTTTACTGCCCTGTATGTTTCACTGTTGTATGTTTCTAGTGCTAAACATTCTTGGTCAAGAAGCACTATAGAAGACTACACCTGCTACTAGCACCAATGTGTCAGTTCAGGTAGCTTTTAAGAAAAACAATACCCAGCCAGCCATCATCTATAAATATTCACACAAGAACTACAAAACATGGCAGCACTGGGATCCAGCACCAAATAATTATTTCACCTATTATATCCAAGTCCTCACCTAACACCTTATGAAGAGGAATCCACTGCAATGTTTATTCTTTTTTTTACAAGACCTCACCCCTTTTCCTTTTTAATACCATGGCGCCACCCCATGGCCTGGCCCAACATTACAATTCAAAAAGAGATGGAAAGTGAGACTGTCCAACTGGCGCTAGGTACAGGTGCAGGACAAAAGCAGCGTACAAGCTAATGAAGCAGCATTTCCATCTTTAAGGTCTTCTCCGTCAATGCAAACATCTACGTGATCCACAGGCATTAACAGAATGTACAGCTCCACCTACAAGTAGGGGATTGTTTAATTCAAAAAATAATAATAATAATAATAATAATGATAATAATTAAGAAAAAAGAAAATATGATTCTATGTCAGTATGCAGAGTGGTTGGCACATATGGGTTTTGTTCTTCGAATGTGAGGGTATGCAACCAAGCAACTGTGCATTTTGCCTGGCTTTGCATCCCTCAGTGTTGTTTCTAAAGAAAGTATGACCTCTTCTCTTTCTACTCAATGAGAGTCACTATATGGACAAACAGTGGCAATAAAACAATGATTTACAGCAGGCACTGCTGAAGCAATGAAGCCCAACATGCTACATGAACGTGAAAATGTATCAACAACAGCAAAAGAATGGTACCTGAGGAGTTCACAGGGTGGGTTATTAGTTTCTTATTATTATTTTAAAAAGAAAAAGGTGTCCAGAAATGGAACCAGCTGCTTTACTACCAAAGTAGAACCGTTTGTGCACTTTCCTGGCTCCTGACAGCTTCCAGAACTTATTTAAAGCTATTTGGTTCAATTGAAAGCAAAAACTCACAAGCATATCTTTGATCAAATACTACTGTTTGTGTGTTTTGTTTAACCTACAGTAGAAGTAGAAAAGCAGGTGCCTGTGGTAAGTCTAACGTTTCTAATCTTGTGCTGATCTTCACAAATATATCAGTAATCTGCTGAGGGTCTCAAGAGATTAAAGGACCTCCAGATGCTTCTACCTTCCTTACAATCCTCAATAATGGGGGCTTTCAGCCTATACAAAATGCAAACTCTCTTCACGGCCTGAGTGTGACCCTGACAGAGCCGTGGTTAGACAGTTAATTGGTTCAGAGATGGCTGGAGCGAGTGATCGCCAAGAAAGACTATTAGGCGAAAACATGTCAACATGCCATTTGTACTGTAGATTTTAACAATTAAAATAAATTCTAAACAAAACGGATTGTGTTTTATTGGTGGCTCTGTGCAAAAACCCTGGATTTATTTAGTCAGACTTGCAGTGCTGATGAGAGAAGTAAAGGATTGGCTCCTGAGGCCCTCTGGTTGTCTCAACTGGAACTGTGCAGCACACACGGGTTTTACCACTCAGCTGAAGATGTGCTCAACCAAGTGCTAAAATCAATACAACAATCAGGAGCAGGTGCAGCTGTGTCCTGTAGCTGTGATGCTAAAGAAACAGCTCAACAATACCTCTAACAAGGCCCCCGTCTCAGCGTCTCACTCATCCATTTGAACTTACCTAGAAGAAAGGGAAGACAAAATGATTCAGTTAGCGTCCACTGGTTGATTTGCGATCAACACACAATTTGGACTTGAATTTCAGTAAATAAAAAAGATGATATCCTTTAAAACATGCAATTCGCAGTTGTGTACAGTTGTGTTTTACAATAATGTATGGCCCAGATCTCAGGGTTCCAGACAGAGTAACAACTGAATGTCTCAGGAGAAAGATGGCAATACTTAAAAAAGAGTTCTTGAAAATCGGCATCTCTGATCATCAAAACAGCATATTACAGCAATTTAAATAAAGGGCAGACACCACTAAAAATGCCCCAACATAATTTCAGACAAACATAGGGTTCCTTAAATCAACTAATTTCAGAAACCTCAAACATTTCAAGACCTTAGGATCCTCTGCTAGTACTGAATGAACAGACAACATTGGCTGTCTGTAAACATCAGACCAAAACCGCCCATCCACTGGAAGAGGTCAAAGGTCAGTCGCCAGGAGCCAGCGGAAGGACCAGAGAAAGATCAAGGAGGACATTCACCCCGGAGACTTTCAACGTTCCCTAGCTTTGGTGATGTGATAAACATGTCTCATTATCTGACTGCAATTATTTTGATATATAAGACAATAATTTGGCCAAAGTGTGGTAATAAACAGTTAAACTTTAATCCAATCTTAATTTAATATGACTGTTCATGTGGATTTTAAAACCATTTTAATACATCTCGTCTTAATTCTATGCCAGGATTTTTTGTTAGCACAGTTCAACACAAATCCAGCGATTTTATTCCAGCTGCATTAGTCATGCACTGCCTGTTTCACAGACATAATCCAACATGTTTACACCTTAAGGTGGTGACTTAACCTGACACCTCAGATGAACTCACACACCAGACAGAGAGACACCACACACACAGCACAAACAACCCTCCAACCTCCCAGAGGGGCTTGGGTGTACTTTTTTTTGGGGGGGGGGGGGGAGTTGTTCCTCGTGTGCAGAGCAGACAAAGAGGCACTGCTAACCTGGCCACGCCTTAGCCTCTCTGATACTAGCAGGCACCATCATTAGCACATTCGTGATGACAGAGCTGAGCTTCTGCCTTCTGGTCGAAATCTGCATTTTAAAGTCATTCCAAACAGATGTCATGTAGAGAGCGTTATCTGTGTCTGTCTGTGCAACGCACTGTTCCTCAACACCATTTAAACACCATCCCTCACCTCTGACATGCAAGCACGGGGGCATGCAAAACATTGTGGGTTGGAGATGGGGTGTGTGAGTGTGTGTGTGTGCATTTACTCTATATGTGGGTGTATTGTTCAAAGGCCCCGGGGGAGGGTCTTTAATTTATTGCCACTTCCAAAATAGCCAAATGACTTGACTGACTGCAGCTCAGATTGAGCTGTGACGTGTGTCAGTGCACTGCTAGCAGATAGCATCAACAGACAACAATGGAGCAATTTAGCTCTTTACCAGTCCAAGCTTCTCCCAATTGTCTGATGAAACCCAAGGGATGAATAGAGCTCAATCTGACCAGGCATCATGTTACAGCTCTAACTGCAACATCACTTAATGTGTCAGTGATTAAACGCCAAAATCATTCCCTCTTGTACTGTTGCTGTTGTTGACACAGATGACGATAGTGGTGATACTGCAGCTGTTCGATGGTTACAATATTTCACATGGCCCACTGCTACAAGGCAAGGCGAGTTTATTTGTATAGCCCACAACAAGGCAATTCAAAGTGCTTTACAGAAAACATAAAAGCATTATAGGGACATTTAAAAAAAGACATTGAAATACAAATTTTAAAAGAGTTAACAAAAAAATAAAATAAAAACAGAGCAGTAGAAATTACAGTGCAGTGTAATTTATTAATCTACAGCCTTAAAATTGATTTAATTAAAGGCAGTGGTAAAAAGAAAAGGCTTCAGTCTTAATTTGAAAAGGATATAATTTCCGCTGGATTCAGTTTTGTCCCAGTTGGATTTCATTTTCAGATGACATGATCCAGATGAGAGAAAGCTCTGAGGTGATGCTCGTAGAATCATCTAGGCAGCACTTGTTACCACACTCCTGCAGAGGAGGGAATTTAGGCCCTGAAATTTGCATTTCAGGCTTTGGTGGAGCGTGCCATAAAAGGATTTTTATATTTAATATTATTATAATTGACTCATAAGTGTGACGCAGTGTTTTTGATTGCATGATATAAAGTTGCTTCTCGGTGTGCAGAAACATTCTTCTTCTTCCACTTGGGGGCAGTGAAACATGATGTGATTTGAAATGAGGTAAACACATTAAAAAGACAGCAAGTCATGGAAAGCTTAATAACCAGTGCCATCATAATGGGTTTAAACCGAAGCATAGCCTCTACTTTCTCATACGGCTGCTCATTGCCTAGCAACAAGGGTGTGGGGCGCGGTCAGAGGCAACAGTGAAGCAAAGGAAGGTAACAAAAAGGCTCTCCGTGGAGCGTGTGTGTCTGTGTCCCTTGGGTTTCATTAGTACAACCTTTCCTTGCCTAATGGGCTAACATACTAACACACACACAGAATGAGAGGCTGTATGTGTGGAATGTGTATGCGTAATAGAGAAGGCACATCTGAACGTCAGGCGCCATGAACTGAACAATCATCTCGACTGATAGCGGACACAAAAGGGCGAGGAAGCATTACATGGACAGAGACAGAGCGAGAGCGAAGGCGTGGTAGGGGGTAGCTGATTCGCCGCCACACCCGAACAAGCCAAATGAGCCGTCCCAGAATTCCCCTATGGCCTTGATGACATCATCCATTGCTGCTCCCCCTCTCCGCTTCACGCATTATTCATCTTCTTTACACACATACCACACACACAAACACACACACACTCACACCAGTTTCTGCTGTAATCTGCCATTACAGGGCTGTGTGCAAACAATAGAATCACTGAATGG